GCATTAGTCAATATTTTGGAAACATATAACATTTCTTCCCTGAAGTTCTCTGATTTCTGGTGAGGGTTCCCCCCCCCCCCCCAGAGGTTTGTTTATATTACCCTTTCTGCAAACAATTCCTTGGTTTTCTTAGACTCATCCTGCAATCCTTTCTCAGGCAAAACACCCACTACTGGGGAAGCACTAATGGATCAAGTGCTTGTTCAGGTTACCATTCACTTCCATGAAGGAAAGCTAACCAGCTGTGGTCCTTAAGGGCCTCAGTGTGAATAACGCAAATTGTCAATTTTTGATTAAACAGATACCTTTGTGGAATAAAACTTTATAACTGTAAGTGACTAGAGTGAAATCCCAGCAAGCTGCATGGACACTTTTCAAAGACACCATAATAGAGGCCCAACTTAAATGTATACCCCAAATTAAAAAACACAGTAAAAGAACTAAAAAAAAAGAAGCCACCGTAGCTTAACAACCATGTAAAAGAAGCAGTGAGAGATAAAAAGGCATCTTTTAAAAAGTGGAAGTCAAATCCTAGTGAGGTAAACAGAAAAGAGCATAAACACTGCAAGTGTAAAAATGTAATAAGAAAAGCCAAAAAGGAGTTTGAAGAACAGCTAGCCAAAAACTCCAAAGGTAATAACAAAATGTTTTTTAAGAACATCAGAAGCAGGAAACCTGCTAAACAACCAGTGGGGCCCCTGGACGATCGAGATACAAAAGGAGCACTTAAAGACAATAAAGTCATTTTGGAGAAACTAAATGAATTCTTTGCTTCAGTCTTCACGGCTGAGGATGTTAGGGAGATTCCCAAACCTGAGCCGCCCTTTGTAGGTGACAAATCTGAAGAATTGTCAGACTGAAGTGTCACAAGAGGAGGTTTTGGAATTAATTGATAAACTTAACAGTAACAAGTCACCGGGACCAGATGGCATTCACCCAAGAGTTCTGAAAGAACTCAAATGTGAAACTGTGGAATTATTAACTATGGTTTGTAACTTGTCCTTTAAATCAGCTTCTGTACCCAATGACTGGAAGATAGCTAATGTAACGCCAATATTTAAAAAGGGGTCTAGAGGTGATCCCGGCAATTACAGACCTGTAAGTCTAACGTCAGTACGGGGCAAATTAGCTGAAACAATAGTAAAGAATAAAATTGTCAGACACGTAGAAGAACATAAAATTGTTGGGCAAAAGTCAACATGGTTTCTGTAAAGGGAAATCATGTCTTACTAATCTATCAGAGTTCTTTGGAGGGGTCAAACAAACGTGGACAAGGGGGATCCAGTGGACATAGTGTACTTAGATTTCCAAAAAGCCTTTGACAAGGTCCCACACCAAATGCTCTTACGTAAATTGTCATGGGATAAGAGGGAAGATCCTTTCATGGACTGAGAACTGGTTAAAAGACAGGGAACAAAGGGTAGGAATAAATGGTAAGTTTTCAGAACTGAGAGAGGTAACTAGTGGTGTTCCCTAAGGGTCAGTCTTAGGACCAATCCAATTCAACTTATTCATAAATGATCTGGAGAAAGGGGTAAACAATGAGGTGGCAAAGTTTGCAGATGATACTAAACTGCTCGAGATAGTTAAGACCAAAGCAGACTGTGACGAACTTCAAAAAGATCTCACAAAATTAAGTGATTGGACAAGAAAATGGCAAATGAAATTTAATGTGGATAAATGTAAAGTAATGCATATTGGAACAAATAACCCCAACTATACATCCAATATGATGGGGGCTAATTTAGCTACAGCTAATCAAGAGAGAGATCTTGGAGTCATCATGGATAGTTCTCTGAAGACGTACAAGCAATGTGCAGCGGCAGTCAAAAAAGCAAACAGGATGTTAGGAATCATTAAAAAAGGGATAGAAAATAAGATGGAGAATATCTTATTGCCCTTATATAAATCCATGGAACGCCCACATCTTGAATACTGCGTACACACGTGGTCTCATCTCAAAAAAGATATACAGACGCCCCCCAACTTACGCAATCTTTCCATTCCGGAAAGCCTTGCATAACTCGAATTTTGCATAAGTCGGAAACATATACTCATATGTTACGCAAAAATTTCCACAACTCAGAAATCCTATTTCTGGTTTATGGAACTTTTTCCATAAGTGCGAATTTGCATAAGTCAGGTCTTGGGTAACCCGGGGAGCATCTGTACTGGCATTAGAAAAGGTTCAGAGAAGGGCAACTAAAATGATTAGGGGTTTGGAATGGGTCCCATATGAGGAGAGATTAAAGAGACTAGGACTTTT